CTTTATAATACAAAGTCAATATATAGTTGGGTCTTTCGGTCAAAGGCAGGAGAATAAAGTCAGCTGGCCTGAGAATCTCTTGCAGCAAGGGAATTGTGAGGAATTAATCCAGTTGATGGCAATGAATTTTCAAAGAAGAATTGAGAGGCTTTTCTCTGAAGTCTTTTTGAGCACACAGTAACACCCACAGTCTCATAGGGATTGCCTGGGACTGCCTGAGCATATGGTGGAGCAACATCAAAGTCAAGTACGTGTTTGATCCATGCCAGCACTGACAGATTATGATCTTGCAGTTGCAGAAGGGCGGAACTGGTGTCTCTCAGCTCAGTTGCTACTGATCTTACACAAAGTGGGAGAGGACTGTGTGGCAGTGAATGACATGTAGAAGTGTTTCAGGGCTGAGGCAGTATCTATCCTGCTTTAATCTTTAGTGCTTCAGGCTCTTCTACAGATTATGGTAAATTCTTGGGCTTTAATACTCAGAGTATTTACAGTATTGCTCTGGTGTGACAAGCAGTGGAGTTTTATGATCTGGTTCATAAACTAATCAAGATGAGATATTGTAATTCACCGGGTTGGAAGGCTGTTTCTGGTACCCCTGGACTTGGGGGACTTGCAGAACTTCTCTGTGCTTCAGTTTCTCATGAACTGATGGGGGGTGAATAGAATTGTCAACATTGTTTAGCAGTGTCTAGAGCTCTGGAGCTCTGCAAGTGAAAGGCAATAGGAGGGAAATTGCACAGAATAGCCCTGTCATGGTTATTGGGATTTATAAAACAACAGATTTATTTTACAAACCTGTTTTATAACCCACTGAAGTGTCATACCCATTAGATTTTACTGGCATTTTTCATTGTTTTGAGAAACAGAATGCCCAGCCAACACACAAAAATCCTCTACTCTCTCTCTCTCCCTGTACTGATCTCAGAATTTTCCTTCTGCAATCAGTCTGAGAGAACAGTGTATAACCTTTCTGGCATACTTGTTGTCCTCATACACGCACATACACACAGATAAAATGTCTGAAATGTTTACATACAGGGACTAAAAGGCTTTTCCTTTGCTTAAAAATCCCGCAGGCCCCTTTGCTTTCCCACAACTTGCCGCATCTGCAGAGTTTTCTAGGGCTGACCTCGCTCCCCAGCCAGGCTGCCAGAGCTGCTGAGGGACGTGGGCTAAATGTTAGGTGGGGATGGAGGGCAGAGTGTCCTTGCTCCTGTGGCCAGGTGGATATCCAGACCCGCCGTCCAGGCAGCGTGCCAGGGATCATGCTGCTGTCAAGCTTTGTGAACACTGGCTGATTTTTAAATACATTTATTTATGACAGTTTCTGAGTGTGCATCAGCTGGTAAAGTGCTGCTGCCACAGCCTGTGGTCCTTCAGAGATTAAAAATGGAGCACTTCCAAATTTTTATGAGATTTTCTTGACTGTGCTAGTTTAACCTTTAGAACTTGGTGGTCTTTTTCAGCCTAAAGAATGCTATGATTCTATTAAAAGAAACCTGCAAGGTTTCATCTGGATTTCTTAATTTTCTAAAATTAATTGAAATAATTTCTGATCTGCTTTTTTCTGTTTCTTAAAGAGTCTGAAGCCCATCTTAAGCAAAAGGAAACTAGTGGCAGGGGAGAGCTGCAGCTCTGTGTCTCATCTTGTAACTCTGGTGGGAATTTCACAGGTCACCACCTCCTCTACACAGACACCATTACCTAAGCTTGAAATATTTCTTTGGCATATTAAATCTGGTTTATAGGAAAGGATATATTTAGGCCATCAACTATAAGGTCCAAGTTCAAAAATGTACTGAGAGATGCAGACAATTCACTAACTTGACTGTTCAACCCAGCTCCAAACACAAGCTGCATTCTCATCTCTGCTTATATGTCCTTAAAGCACTTTGGGCCAAAAAATTACATGAAACACACTTTAAAGAAGCATATATTGGTAATGCTGGAACTTATCTTTGGCATTTTGAAGGAGAGCTTAATACCTGCATCTGCTCTGTAAATAAAAGCACCTTGGACAAGATCTTTAACTTTCCTAACTTAAGAGGAAAACATTGCCTGGTCACTTGCAGTAGATGTACAGGCTGGAGCTGGGTGGCTGTGGCCTGTGGTGCTCTGCTGTCCTGGCAAAGAGGCTGAGAGAGGCCTGAATGAATGACAACAAAGCAGATGAAAGGCTCAGTTTCAGCTGGACAAGCTCACATTCATTAACTGGCTGGTCTGCCCAGCTCGTTTATTATTAATTCTGAGCGGCATCCGAGTGGGAGAAGCATCTGTGATGGGTGTCAGCCGTCAGAGGGCTCCATCCAGCAGAGATCTGCCTGTCACAGGCTGGGCAAGCCACCAGCCCTGCTGTCAGGGTGAGAAGACTTTGGATAATAGCTCAGCTTCCCGTCAGGACTTGCTGGATCAATGTGGTCATAAATAGGAAGGGAAACACATGTAAAGTATCCTTTTCCTTTCTTGTCCTTTCCTCCTGGCATTCAGCCTACAGCTTTGTGATTTTAGGATGAAAGTCACTTTCATGGTTTATTTACGATTTTTTTTCAATGAAATCCTGTAAATCTGACTTGAATCCGGGGTAGGATATCTGGTATTTCTGTTGCGGCTGTGGAGTTGAGGATTTCTCTAGGATCTGCCCTGGGAGGCCTCATAGACCTCATATGAGCCTCACTCTAGGGGATTCAGCCTGGGTGAAGGCTTCTCTCCGGCTCTGTGTGGTACCAGCTTGAAGAAGAGTTCCCAAAGTCCAGCTATGATCACAAGAAATCTGCAGGAACAAAAGAGAACATCACACTTTTTCTAAAGTATGTTGTTTTCTGAAGCTACCATTGGCAGTATACCCATAGATTTATAAAGTCACTTTCTTGTTGAATTGGATTAACCATATAAATATGGTTATAGCCTTAACCATAAAAATAACCAGAGACTGTAAATACGTTCTATTTCAAAAGTGACTATTTTAATTTTTATGTTCTTTGAAAACAAGTGCCTCTTGGATAAGTCCTAAGAGGATATTTTCATTTTGTCTTTTTTTTTTCTTATTGAACATGTTTGGCACTGAAGTTGTTGAAAGAGCAGCTTCTGTATGAGATATGTAAATGCATGCTCTGTGTAGGCAGGGTCTTCATATTTCACAGAAAACTATGACAGTCCTATTCTTGGGCTGAGATTTTTTCCACTGATGGGGACTGGAGTATTCTGAGGCTGTGTTTAGCAAACAAAGCTAACCTGGAGCCTACAAATACGCATTGCATTTGCAGTGAGCCTGTAAGGCTGCCAAGGTAACCATTTTGTGATATAAATCAAGGCAATACTGTAATGGTTGTGCATCTTGGACCTCTAGCACTTTCTGACAAAATCAGTACCAAAGAGATGTGGTGCTTCCCGGAAGATCAGATTATAGCAGTCATACCGGCAGTCCCTTTGTGAATAATTCATTTTTTTGCTCCTTCTTCTGTCATATCACCTGTCATACCTGAGTGGGGAAGGTTCTTTGACCTAGAATCAGTCTTTTCTTAAATCTTTGATTGAGAATGGCACCTTCCAGACTATAGCCAGGGTTGCTGATGGAGCTCCCGAAATATTAACTACTCGAGTCATTACATAATTGATACCTGTCCTATATAGCAATATCTTTACTATTAATGATACATAATTACTTGGTATATAATGATAGTGTCGATCAGAATTTAGTATCTATCTATTGTAATAGCATCTATTAGTAATAGTGTCTAATAATATCTGTAGTAATAGTATCTATTTCTGTTGCTGGTAGTTAAATTTTGCTTGGCTCCACATTGAGATCAGTACCTGCTATCACTGTTCATACCAGCAAACCCAGAGTGGGCTTCAACCTGACTTGTGTTACAGTTTCATAATATGATGAAGACTAAAATTAGAGGCTATTTTTTTACCATCTCAGTTAGCTACAGTGCTTTTCACAAGAAAGCTGTCCTACAGATTTTCAGGCTTTTCTTCTAAAAAAGGAGAATCCAAATTTTTTGTAACCCAGGACTGGAATTTACGCATGAGGATGCAATAAGTATCATAGTAGAACTATAGCTGTACATCTGTATTTAATCTTATATTTGCAAAATATTTCAAGAACAACACTTTTTTTTTAAAGTAGCAGTACAACTGCAGTAATGTAAACCTTTTTCTGCAGAAAACAAGCTGCTGGTAGTTATCTCTTAGCAACTAAGCCACATCAGGCTAGTTTTGATATTCTTATTCTTGTTGAACGATAATAATCCTACTGAAATCTTGTCTAGACCATGAAATGAGGTGATACTAAGAAAGATTATATTGGGATATGGCCTAAAATAAAGAAATAATCACGCTTTATACCCTGTTAAATTACAAGCTGTCCATTACCTTAATATTGCACTATTTTGTCCCAGTGCAATAGGTTGAAATACAATCCTGAAACTCAGACAACTGCAGAAGTTGCATGTTAAAAATTGAAAAACTTATTTACAGCTGCATAAGAGTGACTGAATTCAGGTTAAGCCAATACAAAACTGAACTCTTTGTATCTTTGTATTTTATTACTTGTAAGTTCTGGAGACCGGTGACTCGTACCTCTGTTTACTTTTTAAAGGACATTGGCATTTTCAGTACATATTCAAAGCTTTAAAATAAACAATATACAATTTCTTAATAAATCTGCCTTTCTCTTAAATTGAAGTTTTTGACTGAGTTTCAAACTCGTGAGGAAAACTGAGAAAGAGTCTTCATTGTGGACACTTCCAGAATTCAGTTGACTTGGGTTATCAAAGGTATCATCACAAATAGTGTTTTAACAGAGGAAAAAAATCTGAATGACATGAACTACCCCTGGTAGCTGAATCCCACTCCTCTGGGCAGCTCTTTTCTGTGCATCAGGACTGAGAAAATAATGTCCCCAATAACATGGGATGGTGGAACTGAGGTAATGTATTTTCTGAGACATTTGAAAAACTAGAAGTAACTCTGTTCTTCCTTTACCTTGAGACATGACTAATATCCAGCCTGCAATTGATTTGCACACAAATCTAGCAATTTCATCAGGTTTGTCTTCCCAGAAACTTAATTTAGAGATTTTCTATTAATACCAGATACTTCACCATAGGCTTTTCTTCTTGGCTCCCCGCCACCTTTCAGATCAGGCACTCATTCCAGCTGCCACTAGCCAGAGGGAGAAACCAACAGGCATAAATAAATATTTTCTATCCTTGGCAAAACCTATGAAGGAGGCTCTCACTCTGATCAGAGATGTGTTTCCCAAGAAGTAAATAAGATTCAGGAAAAAAATGCAGTGTATAAATGCACCATCTTAATATCTTCCTTTGTGAATTTTGGTCACAGCTTCTTATATTTTGATGGAAGTTTACCTCTTAGAAAACATCAAAGACACTGCCAAACACAACAGAGGTCTTGTCTTACCAGTCAGTCTGTGACAAAGGTATCAGCTAAGCTTGGGTTGTGGGGTATTTATGCTTAAGGATGACACACAAATCAGGAATACGACAACCTGGCTGCATTTCCAGAGGAAATACGAGGAAATGTGTTGTGGAGCAGCTTCAGACTTCCCACTTACCATGGAAGTGCCAAAAGTGATTCAGTTCACAGGGAAGGTGATGGCAAACAGCACTGAGAGCTTTCCTGGTGGCAAGTGGGATGTAACAGGGACCAGAAGATGTTATTTGTAACACACTTTTGGAACAGAGAGTAGAGAAAGCAATAAATGTTTGATTCATTTTGTAATGTCACCTATCTGGAATTTTCAAGATTCTGCCTTTGTCAGAGCCACATTTGGAGCTTAACACTCTCCATATCCTTTGGCACAAGAAGGAACTTAGAGACTTAAGGGTCCACCAGCTTTCTTAAATCCCTGCTTGGATTACAGCATTGCAACCAATGCATACAGGATGTAGGACAATACCGTGAAATGGCAACTTCTCTTATTCTGAAAGAAATTATTGTGCTCTTCAAGACAACAGTTGAGTGTTTGTATTGAACAGATCTCCCTTGTTTGGAACAGAAGAAGCAGCTCAACTGCAGAGCATGCTGCCTCCTTGGCCCTCCTCCACCGCCCCTGTTCCCACCACCGTACTTCAGGCACAGCTGGAGCACTGTAAGTGTGGCTTTTACTTCTTTTACACGAGTTGTAATGACAAAGAATGAAGTATTGTCTCAAGCACGTTGTGGTGTCACTCAGCAAACCTGCCTGGCTGTGCTGATAAGGCTCTGTGAGGACAATCACACAGCATCCCAGACTGGGGCTTGAAGTAAGTATCAGATAGATCAAGGAGTGACACGAGGCTGGATTTGTTCCTGCAGTTAATTCCATTAACTTAGAATATTTTCCTTACTCTATTTTGAAACCTTCTTAGAGTAAGGCAATCCTGAGCCAGAGGACATGGCAATGCAGTAAACCAGTAAGGACAGAAAGGTAAATCAAAAATCATCCTGCACAATGATTTCAGGGTAGATGTAGATGCAGATGCAGATGCAGATGCAGATGCAGATGCAGATGTAGATGTAGATGTAGATGTAGATGTCCTGTTCTGCATCACATTTGCCTTACCTAGTAGGTGAAAGGAAGGTCCTGAAATCATCCTGTGGAGTCTATTCCCCACCATTTCATTTTGCAGAAGCACATATGTGTTTGAGATGCTGGTATGCAGTTTTCACTCACCCACCCATGCACAAACCTGTCATGTGTGATATATATCCATAAACATATGCTGACATAAGCATGTGCAGGATACAATGGGAATATGACACAGCAATTTGCCCAAGTCCTCTTACTGCAGGTTCTGCTAACATATTCTCCACCCCAACATAAAGAATTTTTCTACCTACTCAGTAATTCCTATTCCTTAATTTTAATACTCATTTACCATATGCAAACACTGCAATTATTGCTAGAGTTCCATAAATAATGATTAGTAAGATGTCAGGCAAGAAGTAACCCAAGAAAATGTACAGTGTAAAATCCTCCATTGCCTTCTGATTGGTCAGGATTGAACTCAGGGTGCTGTTCTCTCCAGACCAAAATACACTTGCCTTTGCTTTCCTCATCACCTCCCCTGCCTGTGCCTTGATTTCCACAGAAAGGAGATCCAAAGACAAGATGCCTTTAGGAATGTTGTGTACTCCTTCAGTAAGAATCAGACAGGAACCAGGGTCCCTGAGATTCCTGCAAGCATCTTAGAGCTTCTGAGCCTAAAATCACCCTCCAGACCATCTCCCCATAAAAACATGATATGAAAATAAGCAGTTATGAGCAGGGTGGGAGTCACGTGAATTAAGCTATGAGCAGTTTGTTCTCTGGAGCCTGTAGTCAGAGCTTTACTGGAAAGTGGCCTTTCTCTTGGAAGCTGAAGATCAGTTGTTTTAATCCAGTGTTTCTGGCTCAGTGTTCATCTCTGTTTCCAGGGGAGATCACTTTTGTCATATGACATAAACAAGGCATTTCACTCATGAAAGCTTAATATTGAAGTCAAGAGATCACACGTTCATTGATCATTTAAGGCACTGGCTCTGCACTGCAGTGAATGAATGCCTCTGGGTTAGTATCTTCTGGAGCGAATTTCATGCTGCCTATGCCCTCTCTGAGTGAAGTCTCTATTATTAGAGAAAAGATGCTATTCCTGGAGAGGAGCTGCTGCTGGCAAAGTGGGACAGAGAGGGCAGGGTCATGTCTAAGAATAGGCCAGGGTCCCACGCTGGCTCAGAGGGGCAGCCAGGCTGTGATGTGCCTCTGTGAGAGGAGAAGGAGGAAGAGGAGGAGGGGAAGGAAGCATGGGGCAGGAGGCTATGCTGAAGTGCTAATGTTCAAGCATCCATGAAGATAACATTGTGACAAGCCCCAGACTTCTCCCAAAGGAAGCAAATAAACTCTTTTGAGACTGTAGTGTATGGCAGCTGGATTTTTATGCATTTCTCCAACAGGCTACATGTGGCTGCATGTTCACTCATATGTTTGATGTTTCATAGAAGCTGGATATGGAGGAGTTGTGTCATGAGCTCCAGATAATAAAGGCTTCCTCTCTGCCTGAATCGCACTGTTCTGCAGGGCCTCCTGGCCCCCAGGTGAGTGATGTATGTGTGACGAAACCACATCGTTCTCTCACTTGCTCCAAAGTCCTTACAAAGCTCTGAAACACATGAAAATGTTTTTTAACACTCAATAAGCGTGCCAAGCTCTGGTTTGACTTCATTTTGATATGACTTTGCATATATCATGTAGGCTTTTTACCTTATGTTCTTATCCCTGCCGTACACAGTTCATTCTGTTTCAAGTTCACCCTTCATTTTTGAGGAGTTTTACAGAGGGTAGCACCCTTCAAAAACCACAGATTTGTCATCACTTCCTTCAGAGACTCTTTGTCAGTTTTTTCTTTGCTTTAGACTCTGTTCTTTTTTTGTGATGACAAGAGCCTGTGGAGTGGATACACAAGGGATAAAATGGACTAGGATGTTAGTGGAGTATGTCCCTGAGAAGGCAAACATCTACAGTAAAATCAGGGACAAGGAGGGGCTTAGCAGGGCAGTGGGGTGGGATTCAGGAGGTGCAGGGTCTCCTAGCTTGACTGCAACATCTCTGCCTCTGACTTGCTGGATAGCCTCAGACCAGTCTTTTTGACCTCACACCTCATTTTCTACAGTTTATTCTTTCAGAAATCTTAGAATCATATAACCGTTTGAATTGAAAGGGACCTTTAAAGGTCAACAAGTACAACCTCCCTACAATGAACAGAGACAATACAACTAGACCAGGTTGCTCAGAGCCCCATCCAACCTGGCCTTCTTCTGAGGAGATGAACCACCCTAGAGGGATGTTTTTTGTGAACATCTCTGTATTGTCGAGAGGATCAGCCGTTTGCCTTTCCATGCCTGTTCCCTCCAAAGAAAGTGGAGAGTTTTTGTAGAGAGGCACTTCCAGTTCCTGCTGGGGCACAGGCAGTGCCAATCCATGTGCTGTGCCTGGTGCCTTGGGACAATGACCTCCCTCAAGCCCCCTCAGTGCCAGTTTATTGCCATACAGCCAATAGCACACGTGGCACAGGACCTGTGCTCAGCAAAGCTGTGACTGAGGCTTTGGCAGCCTGAGCAGGCAACAAGCACCCAAACACTACTTAAAAAGTATAGACACAAGTAAAGGCTCACTAATGTGGCAAAAAGCTTAGCTTTAGTTATTTATAAGTCAGTATTTCAGAAGATAATTGGAGAGTCTAGAAGTTTTAAGGTGAAAGCCACAAATTCTTCTTTTTATAGAATCATTAGAATGGTTTGGGTTGGAAGAGACCTTAGAGATCAAGTAGTTCCAACTCCCCATGAATTGTGTCTTTGTTGTTTTGCCAATTTGTCTTTGCTGAGATGCAGGATGAGAAAGATTCATTTAGGTAATGAGAGTGGAAAGGTGTGAGAAGTGATGCTTAGCATTTGCCTAGTTCTGTCTTGAGGAAAGTCTTCTCTGCATTATGAAACAGCCTTCCAGTGGGATTTGCCATGATCCAGAGTTGCTGTTCATGAGGAAAAAAACACTTGTTATTTCAGTCTTTGCTAGACTGTCTTTAAAAAAAAATAATCCTGTTGATAGCCTCTGAAGTCAGAGGACTTAAATTTCAAGAAAGTAATTTTAATTCTATTGTTCTACAAAGTCCACTGCTATAAATAATATTAATCTTGCAACCAAATGATCTACAATCCCTCCAATAATATTTTTAAATAGAGCAGGCTGGCAGGTTTTATCATAACAGCAGACAGTAGGATGAGTATAACATGGCTTTGGAATTTTTAATTATAAATTGCAGGATGGTGCCTTGTACAGGGACAATGTAAGAACCAGCAGTATTTTGGGAAATACTTCTGTGACAATGTCCACCTGCAAAGAAATACTACCATTACAAGGAGACATCCAGTAATTATTTCTGATTTTTTCTGTAGCTTGCATGGCTTTCAGAGGAGTTGTAAAAGCTCATACTGTTGACTCATAGATGAATTTTAGTAAATTTTCATAAGAAGGAGAATTAGATTTGTAATGGTATGACTTAGAGTGTAATTCCTCCCATGTGTATCCTAAGGTACAAACAAATAAATAAGATTACATTTGCTTCTGACTCTAATAGGGTGCATTGATTTTCACTACTGAAAACCTAAAATAACTCTACTGGCTAAAATAGTTGGAGTAATTTGTGTCAGGGGGTAGATTTTGCTCCTATTCATGTACAATTTGATCACATTTTGGACACTATAAGACAGGCAGGATCCAAACCTGGAGTGAGTGATTTTTACTGTGAATCTAATGCTTCTCTGATGCAGGCTCATGGGATTCTTTTCCTTAGTCATTTAAAAGTAAAAGGTGATCTGTGAACCATAGCCTTCTAGAAATAAATCTGTTTTCCGGTGGTTTATTTCTGAGAAAGGTGTTCAAGGTCTTCCTGGATTAAGAAGTCTCCTGAAAGGAGAATCAGCTTTGTTTGACAGAGAGAAATATTTTCAGAATTCAGAAATGGCAGCAATCTTCCATGTTCATCCCATCCTGCAGAGCCCAGCCCACATGTTTTAAGCAACTTCCCTTACCACCCCTAGGGCTGACCTCTTTTTCCAGCTGATGTGGTGTCTCCATGTCGTGGTTGCTAATTCTTCAGGACTCTGATAACTTCTCATCTTTCATTCGCCCCAGGCTTGTTTTTCTTGCGGGTTCTCCTCATTGACGCGATTCCCCTGCCCTTCCCATGTCAGCCCAACTCTGCATCCTGCCAGTTCAGCAGTGACACAGACCTGGTGTTTGGAGGCCACATTCAAACACAACACCCAACACCTCAGGTCCCAGGAGACACAGATAGGGCCAAGGGCTGATGGGAGACAAGCACCTCACTAATGCAGTTTAATAATGGCATTCATGTTCCTCCCTAGGGCCCACAAGGAATACCTGGTATAATGGGACCAAAAGGGGAGAAGGTAAGTGTCTGTTGTTATGGAGTTTGATGTGTTTTTGAGGAGAAAAGAAGCAGGGGAGGGTGTTCACTTCTTTCTTTGCCCTTTTAGTGAATGGTGGGCTTTATGAATGGAGGGTTTAGCTTTAATTTGAATGTAAAGCTATGAATTGGCATGAAGCTATAATTTAAAACTTAGTCTTTCTGTGTTCATTTTCAGCCTTGAAATATATTTTGTGTATTTTATGTCTTCTTTTGGCTGTGACATCTCAGGTGCAAAAGTCAGCAATCTTACTGACCCAAAGGCCTTTGAGCTCCCTGTACCTCTGGGAGGATGTGAGGAGCAGAGCTCTCCCATGCAGTGTGAATTGGATGGGACAGCTCAGGTATTAAAGCTACCCTATATGTTATGTTTTCAGATGTGCAAAGATCTGCTCCATAATGATGCCTAAAGGGCCTTACAACTGAAGCTGAGCACCTAATTGTGTGCTTTGTTATAGAAGGAGTTGACTGTAGATTCAGGGCTGAGAGCACAGGAGAGACCAAGGAGCTCTGATACAGTAATTCTTCTCATTTTACCTCTGCTAGCTCAGTCTTGATCACAAAAATATTTACAGTGTTTTGTTTGGTGGTATTTGTTCATTTGTTTGTTTGGGGAGAGGGTTGTGGGCTTGCTTGTTTGTTGGGGTTTTTTTAATAGAAATGCATTGATACATTGACTTAAGAGCTTCTGCGCTTCATGTGCTGCCTACAAGACTGACATATTCCTTTCTCTGGCAGGGGGAAATTGGCAGGCCTGGAAGAAAGGTATGAACAAAGGTGCTGTCTCAGAAATCCATCTAATATTTAACAGCAACTGCCAGACAGGGGTGCAGACAAGAGTTCAAGAAAAATTATCTAATGTTGAAGTTTAGCCTGATTGTGCTTCTGTCACTGGCCTTCAGAGTAGGGAGCTTCCAGTGCAGGGCTGGAGAGCTGCCCCAGCTGGCTTGCATTTGACAAATCCCCTGAGTAAAAGCACAGAGAGAAGCCAAAGAGTGGGACATTACCTGGAATGTCTGTGTGGAGAGGGGAAGCATTATAGGAGCTATTATAAAAGGTGTTCCAAAAAAAAAAAAACAAGGCAAAATCAGACTTTTTACTCTTCCAAAGTCTAAACAAGGCTCAGCCAGATACCCCTGAAGAAGGAACAACCATTAATGATTACCCTTCCAGAGCTCTGGCACCAGTGCAAAATGCTGACTACAATCCTATGCTTGGTGACATATGAGCTGTGATATATTGTCAAAAATATGTGCCCCTACATGTGATGAAACAGAATATGTTATCTCAGTCACTAAGTACATCCATTTAATGTAATTAACTTTAAAGAAGACAGAAATGCAGGATGAAATCAGAGATATGCAGGGGGTGGTCAGTAACTAGGAAAAGAAGTACCCTTCTAATAATATACCAAGGATTTTGACACCTTTCTAATAATATACCAAGGATTTTGACACCAACTACCAATCAGTAATTCAAATAAATATAAAACACATAAACAGGAGAGGTAATTTTCTTTAATCTATTTTTAAATGCCGTACAGTAAACAAAAATATTATTAATATAAATTCAAGGGTTTGAAACAGCAATGTCTTCGAGAGAGTAACACACAAATCTACAAAGAAGTGCTTAACTTTAAACATGGTAAATCAACTTACTGTTCTGACAAAAACAAGTAGGTTCTGAAAGAGAAGTTGCTCAGGTTGGAAATAAAAGTGTACAGCTCTCGTTAAAAGCTGTCTGGCCCATGAAAGTTCACTCTTGGCCCTGAATATCATGACGACATTTCTGAGATCATATTGTCAAGCAGTGTAATGCAGTGGAAGAGCATTAATCTGCAGCATCTTAGGAGATATTGAAAGAGTGATTTACAGGCAGCAATTAAAACACATAAATAACTGTATGTACATAGGTAGTTATTGCTAGTCATACAGTAGTTAATAAAAAGAAATTGTAGCTAGCAATGTAGGAATGTTCAGAATAAGGACCATAGTAACAGCAACAATTAGTTAAAGATTTGGTTCTGCTCTCAATATAAATTGGATTTGTATGGATATAAGTACACATAGGTCTTTTCATCCCCTGTCTGCAGTAACCTGTGTAGGAATGGTGTTTTATGAATCATTGTAATCAATGTTTTCCATTCAAGGGCAGACCAGGTCCCCCGGGCGTCCCTGGGATGCCAGGACCAGTAGGATGGCCGGGACCTGTGGGACCGAAGGTAAGGCTAAAATTCACATGGAGCAAATTGTTCAACATCACAATCTTGGGAAATCTCTAAACAGCTCCTTGCAGGAGGCTGGAAAGCTGTAGCAGTGCAAGGACAATGTGCTTGCTCCCTTTCTTACCCTGCTCTGAAAAGTCTAGGGTTAGGTTACTCCACCTTCTGTCCAGACCCTGTAGCACTTCTCATATGGATTAAACATGTCTAAGGGAAATTGAAAATTAATACAATGAAGACTCACTGAGGTCTCACCGGTGTCCCACAACCACACAAATCAGTGTTTCTAAACTGATTGCCATCGTTATGACTATTCTTTATGAGGATCCCTTTGCCTGAAGATGTACTGTGAGCTCTTGTGATCAGAAGGAAAATACCAGGCTGATATCATGGGAAAGAGATGATCAATCATGAGAATGGCTGATCACACCTTTGAAGTTCATTCCCATACAAACAAACATTAATTCCTGTTATTTTTATTAACCAACAGCAGAAGAAATGACAGGAAGCACATTGCTACTGCAAAGTGGCTGCTTCATCTGCATTCATTATAAAAAAAGGCTTCAGGGTAGTCTTTTAGTAAGTACTGGCTTATGCAAAAGGTGTAACAGCTCTTCGTAGGATCTGTGGTTTATGGAGCTTCTACTGGGACTTTTGAGACAACTTGCATTTCTTCAATCCAGGATGCATTAGGCTAAAGGACTGCACACAATGCCTAGCTTGAAACTGCTTTTTCTAGTAAATCTTTGACTCTTCATTTGCTCTGTGAAGGTTGATGCCCCCACCTTAGAGGATGTGATGCATTAGCTCTTGATACTGCAAGAATAGTAGGAATTGACTTGTCAATTCAAGCCACATGTGGGAAGCAGACTTTCAAGATCTTCACAGCCACGTTAGATGAAGAACTTCGTATTATAGTACGTGGGGATGTAGGCAAGCAGCAAGAGAGTACGTACTTAAAAGAAATCAATGTTCACTTTGAACTGGGAGATGGGAAATGGTTTCCCCCACAAACACATTGTGTGCTATGATTTCCCACAGCAGGAGCAATGAGGGCAGAGAAGAGGTTCAATCAAATCCTTCCTTAATAGTCTTAGTGAAGGAAGAGAGCAAAGCTGACAGAAAACTCATACACTCAGTCTTCTCCTTGTGTAAGCGTTAGTTTTATTTATGCAGTCTTCCTAATTTTGATTCATCTCCTGTGTCTCATTAGTCTAGATTAGTCTATTACTATGCTTTTTCATCACACTCCTAGAAGCATACCTCATATTCAGTAGTAATACTTTTCCCTATACTTCAACTGCCAAGTCCTACTTGCTATTGGATTATGATTCTGCTTTTATTGTCTCTTCTGATGCTGTTCTCCTCTATTCTTTAGGTAAGTTCACAGTTGCATTTCTTCCAGTCTTTATAAATTTCATTTTCATGCCTGTCAGTGAAGGCTCAAGTTGAAGACAGTGCAGAAAATCTCTGTGGCCACTTCAGTTGGTTGTATCTCTCTTTCCTTTCTCCCCATCTCTGACCTTCACCAACTTCCAATATTCTTCTTCACCACAGATATTTGCTGCATCCCCATCTTGCTGTAAATCTCCAGTAAGCTGCTATTTCAGGTTTTTTAACTCATATCCACTTCTATGGATATTTGCCATTTCTTCAGCTGGGTCTTCTTGTCTCCTCTTACTTTGACACAGCCTTACTTCAGTCCTTATTTCTCCTGCTTCATTCTTTCAAGTCTTGTCTGAACTTCTGCAGGGGCAGCAGCCAATGGGAAAATCCTCTCCATTTCTTGGACAGTGAAAGAAAAGGAGAGTAAGAGCCAAATGTACTCTTCTGGTAGCACTGCTGCGTGTCTGGGGGTCTATTCTATATTTCACGCTTGATATAATTAGCTGTCAGCAGCCAGAGAAGTGGTTGTAAAGCTTTTTCGTGATTTACTGGCTCCAAATGACTGTTCAGCACATGGTGCCTCAGAGCCACAATAAAAGCAGTCACTATGCCTCCACAAGCCATGAGGCATGCAGCAAAATGCCTTTCTTTTCTGCAGATCAGTGGAGGTGGTGCTGGGTAGAGACAATGCACCTGCGTGCAGAAATGGATGCACTGCTGATGGTGGTTTGCTTGCATGTCCTTTAATAACATCTGGGAAAACCAAAACAAAAAGTTACCCACACAAGAAAATGCAAATAGAAGAGTAAGATAACATGTGAGGGCTCAGGCAGAATACAATTGTAATATAGACCCCTGTCCACAACGCTACACCAAGGTCAGGCTTAACTATTTGACATGAAAGCTGAACACTGAACTGTCAGACATTCAAATATGAACTCGTCAGAAAGCCACATTCAATAACTCTCTTTATTGACCCCTTTAGGGTGAAAAGGGAGAGTTGGGTGTGATGGGATTGCCAGGTACAAGAGGACCAATGGGCTCCAAGGTTTGTTAACCAAACACTGCATTTTCAGACATTGGTTTCTAATGCTCTGCTGACAGCTGCTTCCCTCACGAATTTTCTGGAAAGCATTTATCAAGATATATGTTTCTAATACAGATAAAAAAATACGTTGTACATCAAGCAAAGTTATGTTATATGTTTGGGCTTGGCTGTGTTTTTGGCTTTTCATAAAAATGCTTTGGTATAAATTTCTGTAATTTCTTTTAAAAGCAAGCTCAGATATAATTGTATCCCACTAGAAAAATGGAGCTCTTAAGCACATCTGCAGCATTGAATCATGTCTGCAATGTTTTCCACCTGCCTCATAAGACTGTGGAGATAATTTTGGTCCCCTACTAGTCCATACTAGGTCCCCCTAGCACAGGTCATATGTATTGACAGTTGAAATAAATTATGCAATAAGTTTATTCAAACAAAGGATTGGAAAGAAGAACTGAACACCTTTGTTTATTCTATGTTTCTTTACAAGAAACTCAGTTTTATATTAATGATCACATCAGATTACTTAAGTATAACAAGTATGTTCCATGGGGGGAAAAAAACAGCAAACAAACAAACAAAACAGAAGAGGAAGATTATTGTTAAAATTATTTTAGATTATTAATAGTGGAATCTAATGCTTTATTTACTCTCAGTTATATTTTATTTCACTTGTTTCAATTTCAAAGCATAATCAAAGCTGCTGGCTTTACCTGGCTTTTTCATAATGGCTTTTGGGCTGAGTTGTCTTGCCTTTAATTCATATTTCACAGTTCTGTTTCAGTGAAATTTTAGGAGCTGTAAATATTCATTTGCCTTTACATGTTGATGCAATTAATTATTTGTGCTTCATTTTTTTTCTTCACTTCAAAGTTTGAAAGTCCGGCTTCTTGGGTGATCTTGAAAGCGAGAAGCATTAAAATATCTATCATTCCCTTTAGGGTTTTCCTGGAACTAGAGGAGAAAAGGTCAGTGTGACAACAGAGTAATGTATAATTTAACATCTGGAAACATTTAAAAAAAAAAAATAGTAACTGTAGAAAGAAGGTTGAATTTTGATGAAGTCTAAAAGTCCCACTGAGAAATGAAGACACATATCGTGAAAGAGCACAGTCTTGTGGCTTGGGCTGGGGCGCTGAAGAAGTGAGTTTTACACCCTGTATCCTCGTGGACGAGTTGCTACAGTGAAACTCACTACGGGTTCCCCATCTGCAGCATGGGTAGAATAATCCTTAATTGTTGGTCTGGTTTAGTTAGGTCACACACACTTTGACACTGAGACACTTTGTACTCAAGGTTTTACAGTGGGACCTGAACTGGGAAAGAAGCCAACTGGGAAAAAAAATCAAATTTGAAAGGATTATGTACAGGAAAGCATTTATTTAAAGTAATTACCTGGGGAGAATGACTCCCTTTTTCCTACAGTCCTTAGCATCAATTCTGTTATGGTGTCAGTCATGAAACATATTCTGCTGATTTCAATAACACACTGTATAGGAAAAATATTTTTTGCTTCTTCATGAAATGGTAGCAATTAGGCTGTTGTTCCCCTGTTATCTCTCTTCAGGGATCCAGAGGTGACAGAGGCGACAAAGGAGTCAAAGGAGACCCGGTAATTTTCTTTTCCAGATGGCTGTGAATGTGCATCTGAGGATCAATGTGCCTCTGACAGGGAAAAACAGGAGGGGCATGGAGGAAAGCAGCCAGAAAGCATCTTCCAGGGAGGGCAGGAGTGCTGAGGGAAAGCAGTGTTCCCATCTGCTGTGAGGGTGGTGGGGCAGCTCCATGTCCTTGTGCCCCCAGCCCGGTGCGCAGCGGGGTTGATGAGCCACAGGAGGATTTCCCTGGAGGTCACCCCAGCCCCTCCTGGGCTGTGCAGCTTCCCAGAATGCTTTCAGCTGCTGATATTATAGTACCAGGAGGGGAAGAGGGGGAGAGATTCGTGGTTTGGGGGTTCTTTTGACTAAGAAAGGAAAAGTAAACTGCTTTTGGTGGAAACGGAGAAATGCCTTTCCCAGAGGCAGGCTTTGGGAGTTGTCCTGGTAACAGAGCTAACTGTAGACAAGAGAACAATCAGGATGATTTTGCCAGAGACACAGTAACTGGCAGCAGAGGATCAGACAGCGGAGTAAGGGCACTATACAAGGTGCTTTACAGTAAAATTTTGCTTATAAATCTCCACCTACTGCATTACCTGTAGTGCTGAGTCAACACAGGGGTTTTTAACTGATGGCCACACATGGCACTTGTTTTTTCCTTCCAAGGAAGGTACTGCTTTGTCAAAGATCACTACACATTTTCTAATTATTTTTTCTCCTTTGACTTTGTAGGGAGAAATAGGCTTTCCTGGAATGCTGGGACAAAAAGTAAGTGGGTGTAGTATGTTGGGGAGCTGTGTTAAATTCTGAGACAGGATCAATGAGTGGGTTCAGGGACTTCCCATATGGTGTAAGACATTGAAGGCCTTGCTTGGCAGTGACCAACACTGCCTGGACTTGACCAAATTCTTTAGCCTTTTTAGGTTGAGAAAACCCAGATTTAGCTCTTTGGTGTTGTTTCTTTTTTTTCCCCCAGATTGTTTGTTTAGTCATAATCTCCCTCCTGTTTAATTGCCCTAATTGATAGGGTTTTATTCACTTGAAACTAATAAATATTTCCTTCTTGATACTCTGAAACAAAATGGCACTACTGTATATAGCAGTGATAACCCTGACCAGTTTTTATATCATCATTATTCCATACTTGAAAAACAATCAAAATCCAGATGCTGGCTTACAGAAAACCTAAAGGTGGATAATTTTATGATATAATCAAATTATGTCTCTGAAATTAGAAAAGGAATTAATAGTTGCTTCTACAGAGATTAGAAGATGAGTGAATTCACCTTCCTGTCCCTGAGTATTTTCATCACACATGCATCTTAACAGCAAAGCAAGATATTGCAAAGGGGTCAGAGAGCTTTCCCAGCCTTGACTTCTCCAAGTTTCTCAAGCATGTTTCTGATCTCATTTGGCCTCTTCCTTAGGAAAGGATTTTTCAGGGTTATGTGGGTAAATTTCATGAGCTTTTTTTTTTACTTTACATTTGTTTTAAAATATTTCACAATAATTTTGGATTTCGAAGAAAGAAACGGTGCCAGAATTATCTAGAGGAATCACGTGAATGAAAACAGTGTGCATCTGCTATCTTGTGTGAGGCAGGTATAGCCATGTACTTACCTCCTGCTTCCTTCCCTCTGCAACCACCAAGGGAGAGATGGGCCCTAAGGGACAATCCGGAGTACCAGGACACAGAGGACCTATAGGAAGACCTGGAAAACGAGGCAAACAAGTAGGACCACGGTGTTTCCTCTTCCTGTGACTCATGGCATCTGTGTGATTGTGTGGTCTGAGCTCTTGTAGCATGCACTGTGTGGCACAGGGGGTGGGCAGAAGCCAAGGAGCACCTCCCAGGCATGCACAGGCTACACAGGGGTTAAAGCCTCAGGGCTGGAGTCTTGTCCGCAGCATTCAGCTCCCTGCCCATGCAGCATGGGAAAAGTTGTTTTTATCCTGGATTGGAAATGAACTAATTTAATGCAATTCAAGCAGATCTTGAAGGCTTCCTTTGAATCCTAAGCAACACAGGGCTGTGGTCCCAGCTCCACCTGACAGCTAGAGAGCTCAAAATTATGCCTAGCAGAGCTATATTTTCAGAGTTCAAGTGAACTGTAAAGACTAAAGGAATTGTGTGTAAGTTGGATACTGACTCCACCAATACAGCACATCAGTGGCAGGGGCTTAGCTGGAAGCAGTTTATTTGCAGTCTTGTTATGCTCAGCATGGCAAGGAGAGCCACATCCCTGCAGTTTCACTGTTGCTCTGATGAGAGCAGGAAATATCTGAAGTGATAAAGTAGCCAGTGTGGGGAAAAAAGAGGAGTTGGGTGTTAGGGATGAAACAACAGAACCCCAAGTAAGGAAGAGCAATGTAAATCTCCTAGATGACCAGCAAGAAATATTTTTTTGTCCTAGATTTGACAGATTTCAAAAACTGTTGTGTGCTCTTTCATGATTTTGAGGTTTTGGTTTTTGGTTTTTGGGTTTTGTTTTTGTAAACCTGGTTCATCTGTCCTGCCTGTGTGCTGTGGAGTCTTTCCACAATGTGAGACAAGAGAAGATGCAGCGCCTGCAGATCAACTTGAACATCGTGCACTCCTTATTTGACCTTAGACATTTTGTCACCTTACACAGTGGCTTAATAAAAACGTAGTGGCATAAGCATGTCATAATTTAACACAACAATCAGTGTGACTTACAAAACTATAGTCGGGCCCTAGTCTGGTGTTTCTAGTCCCGAGGCTCAGTACACAAACCCCTTTCTGGTGCCCTGAAGGCAATCTTAGCATTGAATCAGCATGAAAAAGGCTTTCCCTCTCTGTAACTGGTGAACTTGCTATTTCCTTTCTTCTTTTCTAATCCTTTGAAAAAAACGGGAGTGGCATTTTAAGGCTCTGTGGGTCTGGCTGCCACCTTGAAGTGCTGTAGTTGTCTGGCAGCTTGTTCAGCTGAGAGGATAGCTTCCACCAGCATGGGGCCATTTCCTGTCTCTTGATCCAGCTGACATGCCTAGATAAAAGCAGCTAAATTAAGCAGGTGTCACTTCCACTTCCATTCCGAGATATATCTTGATTAGCTCACTGACTTCTTCAAGTTTCCCTGCCTCTGGGCTAGGCTCTTCCTGAAAGGTGGCCAGGAGGAGGGAAGTCACAAGTCACAGCCTTACAGCTGCTGACCGAGATATAACACCCAAAGCTTTATAACTTGGGAGCTGACCCCAAGAAAACCCAAGTTTAGGGTTTCAGTCCTCAAAAGGAGGAACGACTTAGGGCTTTAGGTACTGCTGCTTTGAAAGAAAGGACATAAATACAAATATTGTCAATGGGAAAAGCTTTTCCAAATGCCATGGGTACATGTGAAAGATAAACAAGGCAAAAATACTGAACATCAACCCTTGCCAATATTATTTAATCCATCAGTGCTAAGCAGCCGTCCCTCCAAAGCAGGGGACACAGAAAACAGGTTGTTTTCAGTCAGTACGTGTCTGACTGGCACAACCCTGCCTCTGTCAAATTGCTGCTGTGTGGGGGAAAGAGATTTCCCACAATCTTCTTTGGGGCTACAAAATCCTGGTCTGCTAGTTCTGTGTTGCATAATGTAAGAAGTAATTAGAGATCAGCATCACTGACATTCACATAAATCCTGAAATATTTTTATGGCTCAGGACTTACCTAATAGGATTAAACAAAGCAAATATTCAATTAGTTCTTTATAGGCCATGGCAAAATCAGCCTTCCTCTGCTGAAATGGTGCAAGTGACATTCAAACTTATCCACAGGATGTAACATTTTGTATAACAACAATTATTTCACTATGTATTACTATATATGCTTTGCTACTCTTAAATTAGAAGTGCAATCATTCATTGTATGATTCTGAATGTACATTAACCTGGAATTGCACCATTCTCCAGGAAATAATCTCCTTTGTCATTAAAAGAAAGCTTACACAGTACATTTTTATTATGCTAAATAACATTTGCAGTTACATAAATATCTAGTCAGATATTTAAACTTTAAGCTATGTAATACGCTTCTGAAATCTAAAGCTGAGAAATCCAAGCCTTGGAGAGTATATGAGCTGGAGGGTAAATATAGTTATTTTTAATAAGTGTCACTGTATTAAATTCAGGAGCAAAAAATGACAAGGTGCCAAACAGCTCTAGGTTGTAACCTCCAAATGTCTAAGGGTATGGTTGCACAAACAAGCTCCCATGAGGCAAATTAGGGCTGATTTTAGAGAATATTAGCTATTGTATGTTAACAGTGTGTAAGCCCCTCTCCACAGGTAATTTTGCAGTATTTAGTACTTTTTTGGCTGCCAGAGGGACACCGCTTCTCAGCATGGTGTTGCTATACATTAAACTGCAGTTTTAAGGCCAAGCCCTTGCTTGGCTTGTGATGACCTGCTATCATAGCTATACCCATAGTGAAAGTCAAGGAGATACCAGAATCCAGGCAAGCAAACATTCTGAAAATAGTGTGAGCATCAAAGTCATTAGTGAGATTCTGAAGGGCTGCACCCTAAGACTGGGAAATGTCTCTGTGGAAGTCCTTGACAACTCCTCAGTGATTTTCCCCTTTCTTTCTCAGCAGCACTCACTCCTAGAGAGTTACAGGGGTTAAAAAGACATCCTTAAAGAAAGGCTATCAAATGATCGAAGTCAGAGCAGGGAGATTCCTGACTCCTCACAGGGCAGATCCCTGTGACCATTCCCATTTGGGATCAGTAGTCCTGCCTGGGCATGCCTTTCTCTCTCCACATGGGACAGGAATGTTCCCTGGGGTGGTGTCCATGAAGCTCATGCTTCTTCTGGTGAGTGTCTTGGCTTTCTGAAATGGGAAGCCAGTGCAGTTTGGAAGAGGTTGTTTGTTACTAGTAGCTTAGCCAAGAAATGGATGTCACTTCTCTTCTAGGGACTCAAGGGAGACATTGGACCGGCGGGTGTCATGGGCCCACCTGGTAGGCCTGGTCCTGTTGGCCAGCCAGGCCCCCCTGGACCATCAGGATTAGGTAAGCCGAAAATGAGGTGAGCTCCTCAAGAGTGTCCCTGCTCCCCAGCCCTTCCTGACTCATCAGGCACACATAGGCCCTTCTGCACAAAGTTCTGCGGGGCTTTGTTTGCTTCTCCACCCATGGCAAGGAGAGGATTTCTCCTGGAGGCAGGTCATGCCATCCTCATCCATTATAAGGACTCTATACCTTACTTTAAAGCCTACTTTATGGCTTCTGATGTTTTCAGATAAAACCAAACTAAAGCCTATGTGGTCCCTGAGGGATTTTTTGTAGATGGGGACAATCAAAAGTTATCTGGCAGCCTTGGAAAGACTAGCTAATCTCTATCATCAAAGGTCTGCATGACCAGCAGTGTGCCCTGGTGGCCAACAAGGCCACTGGCATCCTGGCCTGGATCAGGAACAGTGTGGCCAGCAGGAGCAGGAAGGTCATTCTCCCCCTGCACTCAGCACTGATGAGGCCACACCTGGAGTTCTGTGTCCAGTTCTGGCCTCTCAGTTTAGGAAGGACATTGGGATGCTTGAGTGTGTCCAGAGGAGGCAACGAGGCTGGTGAGGGGTTTGGAACACAAACCCTGTGAGGAGCGGCTGAGGGAGCTGGGGTTGTTTATCCTAGAGAAAAGGAGACTCAGAGGTGACCTTATCACTCTCTACAACTCCCTGAAAGGTGTTTGTAGTCAGGTGGGGTTGGTCTCTTTCTCCAGGCAGCAGCTGACAGAGCAAGAGGACACAGCCTCAAGCTGTGCTGAGGGAAATATCGGTTGGATATTCGGAAAAGGTTTTTTACAGAAAGGGTGATAAAGTACTGGAATGATCTTCCCCAGGAGTTGGTGAAGTCACCATCCCTGGATGTGTTTAAAAAAAGACTGGATGTGGCACTCGGTGCCATGGTCTAGTTGTGGTGTTAGGGCATGGGCTGGACTCGATGATCTTGGAGGTCTCTTCCAACTGAGTGATTCTGTGATTCTGCGATTCTGTCTGCTTCTTCAGATATCCTGGCTTACAGGAATCTGAAACTGTGATTTCTAATCAGCCAGGACATGTTCACCCTGTCCAGCTCTGCAAGAGAAAAACAAATGAGATTCAAGTGACAGTGTCATTAAGGAAAGAAGGGAAGAGAATGGAAAGGGATGGGAGTAGGGAGAAAAAAAGAGCAGTGGAGCAAAACTCTCTGTGTAATTAAGTGCTTGAGATCTATGCTCACTGCAATTGTGAGTGTTGTAGAAATTATGAGAAAAACCTTGTAATAAAATAATTGTAGATCCTCAGAGCTGTGTATGCACATGAACCCTGGTCAGCTTGTGGGTCCAAACATGGACATGAAGGGCAATACATGACCCACAATACACAAGGCCCCCTTCCATTTTGCTTTCCCTTTTCCTTCCCTTGCTTGCACTAGCGGATGGGAGGTCTCTTCTTGTGGTGGTGTGGAAATGTGGAAAAACATCTGTGAAGCCGGGCACAGCTTCAGAATCTTCATATATCTCATGTCTCCCATTAAGAAGCATCCTTGCTTGAGTAAATTAGCTGGAAGCTTTCAGAAGGCAGAATTTTTACCATCCTAATGGGAAGGGAGCCAAGACCTTGGGATTACTTTTTCAAGGCTTTATTCCATCCACAGAAAGTTTATGTGTCAGGGTTATGAATCTTTTTCTTCTAGAATATAAATTTTGATCCTAAAAGACATTTCTGTAACGACGTCACTGCTTGCAGTATGACCATATTGGCTCATAATCTAAATCTGCAGAGCATTGCATCCTTGCCAAAGTTTGAAAGTCAAAAAAGCAGTATTTTTTTTGTGTGTGTGTTTAATTAAAACATTAAAAAGCTCCTGTATTTTTAGTTGGGTTTTTGCTCTATAGAAACAGCAGTGCTCAAGTGGTTGTACAAAGGCACAAGTCCAGTGTGTTGTAGACATATGCAGAGACTGACTCTACAAAACTTGGTGCATAGATGCTGTAGAGTGGTCTGTGTGTTCATCCTGTCCTGAATTTCTGAAGCTTCAAACAGGCTGTCAGACTGTCAAATGTCAAACAGACATTTATTCTAGGCAAATGGTCTCTCTCTTCCTCTGTAAAACTGCTAGAAAAACTCAAAAGGTGATCTGAAATAATATGACTATGATAAAAAAATGGCATCCTTCTCCTGAAGCACTGGAATTAGTGCCTCCCTTCATGTCCCAGTGGATTTGGTGGGAGATGTGTCTATCTGAAAACTTGGGTAAATGCAGATATCCACCTTACCTGTACTTTTCCCACTAAGGCTGTGTTTGTGTGTTGTGTACTAACTTCATAACAAGGCAAGCTGGTACTCTGCTTCCTAGGGCAATTTGTGATAGGACCAAAAGGAGAAAGAGGACTTCCAGGGCCTCCAGGGAGATGTCTCTGCAGAACCCCACAGCACATGAGTAACCCATCATATGAGGAATCTGTGTTTGGACACAGCTACCCAAAAGTTCCCGCGGTAAGCAGGTTTTCTGGGAGGGGATGTGAGCAGTTCTTAAGTGCTGTTATTACGAGAGGTGTTGAACTCACTAGTATTTTTTATTTAATAGGAAGGTATATAGGCAATGTGTGATTTCTAGTACCCAAAACCTCTGAGATCCAGCTGGTGCAAAAGAGTTCAGTCTCGTAACCTGTGTGATTGATGTGCTGAAATGCAGCTGTTCCAAAACATCAGTAAGATAGCACATGTTTGGAAACGTTTTTCAAGCCTAAGGATGCTGTCTTTCATCTGCTATTGTACATATATAATCTGTCCTTTTTATTTAATGAAATCAGAATACATTTCAGATGAGTCAGTAATCTCTTTCCTGAATTGAATATTGGGATCAAGCATTTTATGCAATAGAGTTTTCTCCCAAAGCACGTACCCTCAACAACAGGAGTTTCCACAAACTGTGAGAATCAGGTGTCTGGGCTCCAGTCTGCAGACACACACATTATATAGCTAATTTCCATCTCTAGACTTGAAAGCATTTTTATGAGCAAATGGGACAAAGTACTTTAAAGGACAAGGCATTGGTGAAATGTGACCCAGCAATTTTTCATCACTGATTTCTTTGGGCTTTGTAACTACGGTTTCTGTACTTTCCCTTCTGCTGGGCTCTGCCTTATTATTCTGTGCAATGTAGCAGCACTTAGTCAGCAATGAAGATGTTCCTTTGCTGCTGTGTGCCAGCAGAGCTCAGGGAGTGGAAATGCTGTGGTGTCTGATTGTCTCTGAATGTCAATGGGCAGCAATTAGCTTTGTTAAAGCCCTACCTGTCACACTGGCAGAAAGCTGTCACAGTGTGTGGGAGGGACACACTCACACCACCATTAAATTGGGTCACTGAGCTCAGCCTTTTGCAAGAGTGTGTTTCAAGTCTTGTTAGCTGTGTCAGCTGCTCACTCATCCCTGGCTCTGTTGCATTAGAAAAAACCCTCCTGTTGTTTTGAAAACATGATGGTGAGAGATGAATGTGCTGAAATCACCACACTGTGAGCAAAAAAAAAAACCCACATCATGTACTTTGCATCCTGGAGAACTTATAGGAAAAGCTTTAAGGCTTGCAATATAATGTATAGGTCTTATTACCTTCCTTCTCCATCAGGCATTGTGTCATATCAGAGCTTAAGAGATAGTGATGAGTGTAAATATCTAAAATACCATACACTATCACCAAGACCTCCCAAGTACAATCATGTTGCCAGGAATGTGGGATGACAAAAAGGCAAGTCTTAGTTCTGGAACTTCCAGAGCAGAATTTCCTGCCTGCCTCATTTGTTTTACTCCCTTGAGTGTAAAGAACACTTTAACTTAAACTAGAGCTCAAACATCACTATTGTTTATTCTGTTCAGGTCTCCATGTAGCAGCTTTGAAGCCTGTCTTGGGCCACTTGAAAGCTCTTGTCAGGCTCCTATAGCTGCACATGGAAAAGATCCAGAGATGGTGCTGTGTGCCCTGGCGCTGTGGTTTGCCAAAGCAGCACAGCCTCACTGCCATCACCCCTGCACCCAGCAGCTCCTACAGAGGTGGGCAGGGGCTGGGAAACAAAGTGCTGCTTTTCTGTCATTGGCTTAGATTCATTCCATTTTTTTAATCTTGTGCATTTTTAAAGGCTGATATCTCCAATGGCTTGAGAAAGCACAGTTTTGCCATTGATTTCAAAAGAAATTTGGGTTCTGGGGCTGGGCCCTGAGCTCCTGAACATAATTACAGAATCAGCTCTGTGCTGGCTTCTTATATCTTCAATTTCTTTCATTCAAGCTAAAGGCATTTTTATTCAGTACTTCTTTAATGAAATTTGCCTTTGTCCAGGGTTATAGGAATATTCTGCTATGCAAAAATTTCAAGGTAACTTGTTTTTAAAAGAGCCAATTCTGTTTATGCTGGTGAGAATCAGACTCAGACCTAAATCTATTTTGCTCGGAAGCACTCCGTTTGCTTTTTCTTAATTTCAAAATGGCTTGAATCTTACAAAAATTAAATTGATTAAGCTGCTGAAGGAAGAGATTATTTCCTAATGCTTCTTACATCAAATTTCAGTGACTGAGACATTAAAGAAATGGGTAAGAGAGCAGCTTGTCCTAATTTTCCCATTTTGAACTAATTTTTTTTCAGTGTAATTGAAGACTTGGCTTTAGACCATAGTAGATGCATATAAAGAAACATGCATTTTAGTGCCAATTAAATCTAAAAAAAAGCACGAAGAGCTAAAAGTTAAATGAAGGTTGTACTGAGCCATGCATTATTGATTTTGTAGCCACAAACATGGCTGAAAAGTTATAGTCAATCCACAAAAAGCACTTAGCTCACTTGGATTTTGCAACTGTTTCAGCATCAAACCATTTGAGCACCAGAAACTTGTGCACTTCTCAGCAGTGATTGTGCACCAGTATTTGTATGATTTTTACCTGAGGACATGCATTTCAAGATAGGGGCCTAAGAAACACCATTCTTTCCGTGGGTGTAGGTTCTCACCTCCTCTCTTTCTGAAAACAACTGAACTATATCTCTAGATATTATTTTTCTATTTGAAGACACATATGCCAAACTAGATTCTGTGACAATCCAAGAAACTTCTTGAGAAGGTTACTAATCACCTCTTTTTCTGTGCCCCAGATTTTTGTGGTGAATAATCAAGAAGAATTGGACCGGTTAAACACTGAAAATGCATTAGCTTTTAGAAGAGATCAGAGATCTTTGTATTTCAAGGATACCTTTGGATGGCTCCCAGTCCAGGTGAAAATATGACTGTGGTCTCAGAAAACTTGTGAGTGTATGTTTCATTTTGAAATACAGAACACACTTCTGTACCTAAGGTGTCATATAGAATCAATTAAGCAAATGGGGGGAATGCTCATTTTTGAACACTGCTTCAACTGTACATAATTCGGTGAATTTGCTCACAGGAGTCTTAATTACTGAAGAATTAAGTCAGCAGTGTTGCAGGTTTTGCTAACTTCCCTGTGAACCAGGTTCACAGGGAACAGGTGAACAGACTGGAGCAGAGTTCAGGGAATTCTGGTAGTAAAGAGAGTTTTTATTTAATACAAAATAAGGCAAAACTCTGCTGTTTTGCAAAAAAGTACAGAGTTGCAGAACTAAAACCCTGCAAACCAAACTCATGTATTTCCTTACTGCTTCAAGGAGCTGAGTCCTGCTGAAATTAACAGCAGGATCCTTCTTGTGTCTACTGGACTTTGGATCAGACTGTATAAACCCTCTGACCAGCAAATAACATGACATAAAAACCTGTCTGTGGGACATGCTCCCCAGAGCCCTTCTCCTCTGCTTGCTATCCTGCAGCTGGTCTGGTTCAGTAACCATTGTGTGTTTGCCTGGTCAGCTCACCCCTCTCTATCCCGTGGATTACCACTTCCAGGATGGGGGTACCTGTGGAGATGGGATCGTGCAGGATGGGGAGGAGTGTGACGACGGCAATGCGGTTGTGACTGATGGCTGTATAAGTAAGTTTCTTTCTGCGGGGGAAGGTGCATCAGTGGTACCACAGGGTGCAACTAAAATCACACAAGGAGAGCTTGTGTGGTTTGTGGATCAAGTGCGGGCCTGGGGAAAGGGAGGCACAATGGCCACAGGGTGAAAACTGAGGCTTTCATGCATGTGGATAGCACACACCAGCACAGGACAGAGGTGACAGCAGTACTGCTCTGCACCCTTGCTGAGTCAGAGCCACTGCATTTTGGGGGCCACATCCAGCTGCTGGTTTACACACACACAGACACACAGACAGACAGACAGACACACAGACACACAGACAGACACAGAGACACGTAGACAGACACACAGACACATAGACACACACACACACACTTTTCCTGTGGGCTGCCAGCTCTATCTAAAAGCTGTAGCACACCTTTGCAGTGCAGCACAGCCCTTGGGATAGACACTGAAGCTGTCTGTTTCTTACAGTAAAAGGAAACCTGAGTCCTGAAATGTCACTTTGGATTTTGCTATTCACTTGCACAGGGAAGGTGTCGGCCCACTGCCTTCACTCTTAGGTTTATACAACATTTAATTCATGTCTACTTCCATTTTGCTGATTGTGGATAGCAAAGAGCATATAAACATTCAAGCAGCCGTGGCAACCTTCACTTCCTCATCTCAGTTACTTTTACATCTTGAATCCTTCCCCAAGGCACAGCCCTACACCATCTCCATATAGTAGGTTTGGTGCTCTGTTGTTCCCAGCAAAGAGATGCTTCTTCACTTTTCAGAACAGTGTCACCCAACACCGAAAGATACAATTTTTCATTTATATATTCCTCAATTTTTCAGCCTGACTTTGAAAATGGGGTGTATGCAGCCACGCCCTATGCAAGTTTCTCCATCCACCTGTCCATCACCACCCTTCCCTTTAAAATTTAGGAATTCCAGCCAACTTTTCAATGATGACAGGAAAGAGATTTCAAAGGCAATTCAGTCTCAACAGGTCTAGGAAGACATAAAAATAAATGGTCCTCTAAGCTTGCCTGACTGCAGAGTACTCCAGAGACAGCAGGATCTCTCTTGTTTCCAGACATGAGAAAACAATTAAATTAGGGTTTGCAATCAGCTGTGGGGAACAACCATGTGGGAAGATAGTGTTCATTAGTTCTAGTGCCTGCAAAACTGTGCACTCTGTGTCTGAGGGCACATCATGTTCTCTGTGCCCCGGGAAAAGTCTCCATGGAGGCCTTGCAATACACAGATTTCTGACACTGGTGTGACCCATCATCGAGTTACTTGGAAATAAGTACACTGTCATCATTCTTCTCCTGTAACTGAACCAATAGAAAAAGGCTAACCAAATGTTAAATGGATTTTATTGTAAAAAAAGGCTTGTTGGTCTTAGAAGCATCAATTTCTGACAAACACATCCTTGGTGCAATTAATTAATCATTTCTATTTGTAAATAGCCCACTTTAACCTCTTATAAACTCCTTGTTCCTGAGTGTTAGTTTAATCCCTTGCTTAACACCAGAGGATTCTCCCAGAAGATGTCAAAGGAATTTTAACTAAATGAATTTGTTAATGTTAGAAAGTCATTCTCAATATGTTGAACATATCAAAATCAAAGTCCAATTGCTAAAATGCCAAACAAACCCACAAATTACTGCAGCCTACATGTCAGTTACCATGAAAAAATGTGACAAGTCCCACTCATGCTCAAGTCAGTAAGAGTCAGCAGTGGGAAAAACATAGTTTTGGCAGCCTTTATATATCTTATTTTTTTTATAGACAGGCTGTATAATTCCGTTCATATGTGGAAACTCACAGCAGACAAACATAGATATTGTGCAGAATTGTGTAAATATCTAGGTTGGGAATTTCAAACCAGTTAACAATCTAAGGTTATTTTTTTGAGATTGTGACTTCCCTGAATCATTTATGTTAACTGTATTTTATATTTCCCTTAACTTGTTTTGACAGTAATTATCTATGGCAATAATAAGTTTCAAATAAGTGCTGTTGTAATTAGTGATTTAGTAGTAATTTCTTTTAGTATTTATCCATTCTTTCCCCTGGTTATTGAAATTAGGCTAAAAAAAGTTCATTCTATGTAGTGAAGAGTACTGCTCCTCTTAAGACAGTCCTTACAGAATGCCTTAAAATATCTTGCTTTGCGTACTTAACCCTTAAAAATCTAGTTCCACTTACTTTAGGTGTTTCTTTTAAATATGAAGGGCCTGGAAGGTATTTATTCCTTTATTTTTCACTAGGGTGCCACCGTGCTTACTGCGGAGATGGCTACAAGCACGAGGGGGTTGAAGACTGCGATGGGATGGATTTTGGATATTTGACATGTAGAACATACCTTCCTGGGTATGTGAGAGGAGGTCTTCACTTTGGTTTGGTGGGTTTTTGGTTGGTTTCTTTATGGGTTTTTTTTGTGTGTGTGTTTTTCCTTTCTTTTTTTTTTTCTCTGCCAGCTTTAAAACAGAGGCGTCTCATCCACTTAAACCTTGTTCCACTGGGACCACTGCAAGTAGCAGGGAAGAAAGAATCTATCAAATTATTTCTATATAACATTGACTTTAAGGGCTAAATCTCATTTCACAGTAAGAAGTACATGCCTCCTACTGTACAAAATAAATGAAGGTCATGTAGACCTTTGTTTGCCCCTTTCTTGCCAAGATTTCCTCAGCTGGTCACATTAATGTCCAGCCATAACATAAGAAGAGTAGGAAAGACCATGAGAAGATGATCACACTGAAGGAAAAAACCCACAATATCCAAATCACAGGCTCCTGCCGACCTCCTGCTGCCCTTCCCATTAATGGGTACTCTAGAGGTGTATTTGCTACTGAATCAAGCTGTCATCTGTAAGCTTTCCCAAGGTGCAGGAAATTCATTCACCAGCAGATGCGAAGCGATGCATCTGCATAGCAACGTCCTTCATTTAAAACATCTGCTTATTATTGACTTACCTCCTCTGCCTTTGTTCAGGCAGCTTCCTCTGGTCAGCGTTTTTCCTCCAACAGCAGCACCTCTATTTAGCTGTCAGGTATCGTTATGGGCTAACAGGAAACATTTAATTTGTAAATTAAATTATACGCAGAGCCCTCATCATTCAGGGAACAATAATGTGCTAATTGACAGGAATAAGAAACCACAGGATGTCTTTGTAAATCTAGTGCTGTGCTAATCCTTCCACTGTAATTGTTGGAACACTTCTGGTATAAGAGATTACTGAAATCCAGACCAGTCAACCTGACAAAACTGAAACATTTTACAGAGACCTCATCTTCTGACAGTGTGGAGTTGTTTTCTACTGTGAAAACTATTCCCTTCTTAGAGTCTGAAATTTGGTGCCTAAGATAGCACCATAAAAGCTTAAGGACAATTTTATAAATTTCACTTGGCATGTATATTAAAGTTGTGAAGAGCAACTGAGATTTTTTTGTGTGTGTGTAGTCTGCAAATTATCTGCCAAACTAAAGAAAAAGCTGTGAATCATGAAAAAGTGGGCTGAGTATGTGACTATGACACTCCCATAGGAGTTTTACCCCGCAGTAACCTTTCCTCCAAGAATTCTGCTGCAGCTGATTTTCCCATTTTTTACTCTTTCCAGCCCACAGATCCCTCCTCCTGTTTCACACACCTTCTCTGCAGATTTTATGTTAGTCTGAGAGTGTGGGTTATCCTAGGACGTAGTTTTAAAGCTGCTTAGTCCATAGCTTGATATTGTGGATGAGTTATTCACTTAGACATTCCAGCAATAAAAACTCATTTAAATTCTTCTTAACAACTCTGGTTAGGTCTTCAGTAGGTAGAGTCACTGCTCAGTTTAAGTCAGTAGAAAGACAAAAATCTCTGTTTTTCCTTATTTTGCAAGGACTCTTCAATTTACTTTGTTTTAAATTATTTCAAACGTGGGAATGTGTCACTCTCATTATTTCAAGTACATGAAGAAGAAGTTAAAGGACAGGCACAGTCACGCCTGCTGAAGCTATTGGGAGTAACTGGAAAAACACTTAACTCAGAGCCTCAGATATTTTGTTCCACAGCTCCCGTGGGTGAGCGCCGGGACCTTTTGCATCCACCCCCATGAAATGCTCTAGTCCTGATGCCAATAGGGATTTTATATTTTTTAATTGACTTTACTGGGAGTTGAGTCTTCACTCATAGTTTCTCCTGGACTCCTGTTTTGCTGACAGAGGAGAGCACTGATGAAAATTGCCCTCCTGTTTTGTTTCCCATATGTTGCTGCATATGCATATTCTGAGGTTCTTCACTCCTACGGAGTTACCAGGAAACGTGTAAGTGAATTATATCATGCTTTGAAACTGAGATATTCTCTTTTATTCTAGGTCTTATGGAAAACTGCGATGCACTTCTTACTGCTACATTGACTCCACACAGTGCCGATACTTCACATGAGGGGAGCTGAGGTGGATAACATCCCACGTGTAGCGGGTGCTAGGTGCTACACTATCACCTATCCAAGAAGGACTGGGACAAAAAGACACCCCACCCACCTCTGGGAAAACAAACAAGGACACATCATGCTGCTGATGGCCATTTTGAGATTTTTTTATATATATATATATATTTTAATTTTTTTTCAGATAGGGAAAAATAGGACCACTGCATCCTGTCTTAATAGAGAAATAAATGTCAAACAGTGTGTGCCAGTGAGATTTCCATGCGGCTGCTGCGGATGGCAACGTACTCTCCATCACAAAAGCAACATTAAGCTACTGGAAGCTGAGTTTCATTGAACAGGAATGTCGTGTAACAATTACCTCGATTTAGCACTGTTAAACCCAAATGTAATCTCTTGGGGGGGTTTTGTCTTTAACCCTTCTCCGAATAAACACAAAGCATGTCTTGGATGCCGTGTTTAGAGGGACTTTCTCTTTTGTTACAATGTGAACTTAGCAAGTGTTGTGTCCACAAGAGATGACTTCAGCAACTGTAAGGTTACCAATGCTCCTTCATTGGTCAAAGGAGTTAAAGTTCTTTCAGAAACAGCAAATCAGCCAAATAAGCTGGTTAATATCACCTTCAGGCGAAGGCGTTGTCTGTGTGTCTGTGCTCTACAAGCAGTGAGAGGAGGCCTGCAAAACACACAACAAAGGACAAACTGGACAAGTAAACTGTGAAATAGCCAAGAAGTTCTCTCCCAGGAGAAAATCAGACAAGGAGGGAAGATAAAGAAGGAACATATTTCTGTCTTTTTCTCCACTGTGCTGAGCTGGCTGGACTCTGCCGGACCCCAAGGGGCTGGGACAACATCGGTTCCCTGACTGAAACCATGGCCATGAATGCATTGTCTTGTCTCTGTGTCCACACTGGAAGGTCTTTGCATTTGCAACCCCTTATCCACCTGACCATCATCATTCAATTCCCAGCTATCCCCTGTGCTCCCTCCCCTCTGCCACTGGCTGTTTCTGCCACCCTGTACCCCAGTGCGTGTGCTCACTTTTGCATCGCCGTGAATCAGACCGCAGGGTAGCGCGGGGATGCTCAGTCATGCTGTGCAATGTACATGTGGGTTTTGTTTTTTGGGAAGGCCTCCCAATTATATCAGCTCTGATTGGAGTCAGGGTAATTATATACTTATTTCTTAGCAAGTAGTAAAGAGTAAATTTCACATGGAAAGCATATTAAATGTTATGTGACAAAGAGTCTATAACAGAAAATGAAACCGAGAATGTGCAGAATTCAGGACTAAAGCCTTAAAACTAGGCACTATTTTCATAAAGCCACTCTTTTCCTGCTTTGTGGTAAATGTTGTACAGGACTGTGTGAAACGTGTGAGTTATCTGTGCCAGTAACAGCACTGCAACAGCTGCACTGACACTGGCACTTCTGCAGAGGTTAAATAAAGGTGGATGTTGTGTTATAACGATAATGCATTAAAGCAATCAAGAAACACATTCAACTCTTACCACCCGCCTAGGAGACTTTAACTATGCATGTATAAAGTGATAGTGGAAATCACCAATTGACAACAAAAAAAGAAAGGAAATTCGTGGTCTTGTCATGATTATCACTTACCTGGGCTATTTATGTTGCTATGAAGCCAAGTCACCAGTATTTGTAGCCCAGTTCAACAGTTTAATTTTTTTTTTTATTATCTGAGGTCTTAATAAAAGGACCAGGAATCACTGGGACAAGTAACTGCCACAAACTCTGGAAATCTGGGCACTAGCACAGCTGCCTTTTTAATTTCCTGTGCTTGTGCCAGCAGTGGGTTCCAGCACCACACCACAAGGAGCAGGTTTCTGGTTGTTGGGAGGCTCTCGCGGACAGACATGCTCCCAGCAGTTATTCCTGCTGGCCATTCCTCTGGCTGAACCTCTGGCAGCATCTGCTGGTGTTACCATCCTGGGATTGGAGACACTTCATCTGAACTATTCACCTTCTCCAAGGAGTTTATCTCAACCCCACAAAAGGCTGGAGTCTCTGAGAAGCTTGGTAATTCCAGTGGCCTTTCACCCTCAGTTTTCAGTTGGATCATTTTTAATTAAAAGCTCCTACCTCCAAAGGACATTGAAATAACAAAGCTACATGCGTGGATCATAGAATGCACAAACAGGAGATATAATCAACCAGGTAAAACTACTGTGCTGGACATGTTCACAAAGGGGCCTATCAGTCTGGTCAGTCTGGGAACACTTGCAAAGCCTGGATTTTAAATGGACAAAGCAATGTAAAATATAAGAAAAGAAAAAAGAAGTTTCATACTACTGTTACTGTCTTGTTCCCCTCAGAAGATAAAGCATGAGAAAGACACCTGGGAAGGTGTAAAGTATATATGATTTAAAATGCTGCAAAATAAATCCTTTGCCCTCATTTCTTACATACCTGATTTATCATTAATTGGGTATTCTTCAGCTGGGTGATGCTGGGTCTGCTGCAAATTGTCTTCCCTCCTTCTCTGAATTTGGGAACTTAATGCATTGTGCCAAGACTGGTTAAAAAGTTAATTGGAATATTTCAGTTCACTAGACTTTTGTAGCAGCATACACTTGTGCAAGAGTTTTCTAATGATTAGTCTGCAACTCTAGGCAAGTACAAAGCATTTTGCCATGCACTGTATTAATATATACAAAAAGTCTGGCTTGCACTTAATACATGATTAAACACATGTAATTACCTCCTGTGTATACTAGCAGCTCATGTCAATAAATCGTGCTACCTTAGCTCCCTACGTCCTTACTTTCACTTATTAAATTTTGGGTTTACAAGCATGTTTTTCAAATATAATTACCTAGTTTAAGAAGCTGGGGAGAGAAAAACACCTCTTTTTTTTCCCATGCCTGCTGCCTCTCCCTGCCTGCCGTGGGATCCAGTTCTGTGTGAGCACAGTGATGCTCACACAGCCTGGGAATGTGACTGTGCATTCCTGCTCCTGGGCTTGTCACCAAAGTGACCCCTGCAACACGCCATGGGCAGAACAGCTCCACTTCCATCGATTTCTAATTGGAATCTGTAAACTTCTTTTTAATAAGGCTTTGAGCTGTGGTTTGGGGGATTGTCTCCTCCTGCTACCTGATAATGAAAATACTGGCTGTTTTGTAATTCTGTGTCAGGCTCAGCTGATGGCTGTGAAACAGAAGGCAACAGCCTCGGGTGCTGATGGACAATGGAGATGGTGACACTGGCACCCAAGATTTGGACACTCCTGGAAGCTGGCACCCAGGTTTCCAGAAGAGGGTCCTGCCTTGCAGTAGCATCCTGTGAGAGTTTGTTGTCCCAAGGCATTTGTGTTTAACAGGGAGTTCCAGAGAAGGGCAGTCCTGCCTGTCCCCAGGGAAAAAGGAAGTGTATTGACAGAGAATAAGTGAGTATTTTCTGCCTGTCCTTTCTAAAAACTCAGCTTCTGTGACACTCACCTCTCTGGCATCCAAATGCCTACGTCATTTCTCCCTTCCCTTCAAACTGTTCAAAATCATAGCTGTGAAGGCTGTCCTTGCCCATAAATCTGGCCATCCACCTCATCTCCTTCTTTCTTTTTTCTTATTTCCTCTAAAGACACCAAAGTTCATATAATTTGTCACCTCCTGAAAACTGCAATGCCCTTGCTGCTCTGCTGGGTTTCATCAGCTTTTCTTTCAGTCTCTCACACCATCCCTTTTCTAACATCTTATGCTTGTGACAGCCCTGCCATATGTCACAGCAAAGCTCCTTGGTGATGGTCCTTACCTTCTAAAAATCGTAGGATGCGTTTCCCACTTCAGCCCCACTCATTTGTACAAGGAGAGAGGGGAGTGGTGATTAACCTTAAACTGTGAATCCCCAAGAACTGTCCTTGAGCATCAGCTGTTTAAGAGGAGTAACAGTAATAAGTCCCCAATTAGCTGCATTTGGGGACAATTCAATACACTTGGCTGCCACATACAATCAGGAGATGTATTTTAAAAAGGTGACCAAAATAAACCAAAGAGAAGGAAATCAGTGCTGTGCTGTGGTTCTTTGCTGATATTTAAGTCTATCATGCACAATGCTGCAAGGAGATGTTTAAAGAGCTGTTGGAAAAATCACATTTTAATTCACAAAGGGTGAGGCAATAACAGCAATTTCTAAAAGGCTTTCAAGTTCTTTCTCTGATAGCTTTTGCCTAAGGAGATGGATATGGCAAAGCAAGGGTCCTTTCCCTGGAAACCATTCCCTTGCAAGGAAAGCACAGAATAATGGGTTATTGAACTCTGCTACAGGCAGCATACTGGCAAAAGGTACTGGCAACTGGTGAATGCAAAATTTGGATCAGGAATTTGGATCAGAGTAACTGATGCTTATTAATCTGGTAAGACACCATACAACTTGTAACCCATTAGAGCACTGCCAGATCTTTACCAAAGAGGAAAAAAAAAGGAACAAAGCCTAAGCAAGTGAGCCATTTGTGTCTTTAATGAACATAGTCAGTGAAGACCCACCACTATATTAATATGTCCAGTTACACGCCCAGCAATGTGCTCTATGCAGAAAGCTGGTGTCACTCCAGGGCTGAAAAGGCCAGAGCAAAGCCTGAGCATATGTTTTCATTGCATCAGTAATTACAGGGGCATTTAGGAGGATGGCCCTGAACCAGCCCAGCCAGGGAAGGCTGCATTTGAAAGGATGGCTAGGCCAAATCATATTAGAGGAGTGTACTCCTGATGGAAATTACATTAGTGGCTACTTCCCTCCCTCCATCCCCAACAAAATCTTGGCACTTAAAAGGCACTGAGTTATAGCCCTGGCCTTTTACAGCTTTTAATTCACTCTGACAGTTTCCCCGAGCATCTGAGGGAAGGTCCAGTTTGGATGGATAATATTCTCCAGTGACAGAGAAGAGGGTTTAAACAGACATATTTTGCTGCGGCCCTCCCACACACTACTGAGCAAGTAGTCCTCCTGCATCTAGTGCTGCTCAAGATTTTCTTTGGGAA